TCTCCTTTCTTTGCCTTTGGGAAGTTCTCAGAACATTAACTCACTCCATCCAGTGTTCTGTGGCTCCCCCAAATCCTGGGGTGGTAGGGGCTTAATTCCCACCCTGTGCAGATTCAAGTGGACACTGGATGCCAGGTTATCCTGGCTTTAGGAGTTAACAAGGGATCTGTCCTTTGTCAAGCAGGAATTCAATGAACTTCCCTTTCCTCCTTCTGCTCTTCCTTGCTCTCTTCTGCCTGCAGGGCTACTGCCATTCACTACTACTCTCACTGTAATGAATCCCTTCCTTACCTATACTCCTCCAACCTGGTAGAGAATTTTTTCTCATTCAGAGTCAAGAACCCTCCCCCATCTGGGTTGAGGTTTCACCTAGTACACAGGGAGAAACCTCCCCAGATGCAGCTGCCTAACAACATAAAGCAGATTAATAAGAGAAACAAATAAATGGAAGTTTATAGTATGTACAGTTCCTACACACATGGGAGATACCCAGGGAAACAATAAAATTCCTCAGAATGGCCCAAGCTACACCTTAATTGTCATTTTCAGTTGAAGACAAAAGAGGTGTTAGAGGTTGTGGCAGAGGGAGCCAGTTATGGGAGGTTACCAGGAAAAGCACAATAAACAAGGGTAAGATTGTTATGCAGATTTAAGTCAGTGCCATCTTCCTTGATAAAAGTTTCTTGTGCTTTAGTCATCCTTCTCTTCCTGGGACAGAAAGGGAGATAACTTTAGAAATGGAGATTTTTAAATGTATATAACCCTTATGAAAGGGTAAACTGGAATTGTTTTTAGAGCTTCTCCTGCACCTGCTTCTCCTCAAAAATAATCAACTCAAAATATTCTTATGCCAAAGAGGCATATTTTGGGATGGCCAATTCTGCTACCCTTCAGCAGAATTTACAAATGGGAAGGAAGAAGGAGATAATCTGATTAGACAGAGATGAAGGGCTCCAACAAAACTCCATTATCATCAGGCTGAGTCAATGGGAGAAAAGTATAAGTAGCAGAAATTGGAAATTTAGTAATAATGAGCTGTTTTGTGAAGGAAGGTGGTAAATCTGGTTTGAGAAATTTTTAGTTTAAGGAAACTGTAGAACATGCAAATAATGATGTCTAGCAGGCAATTGGAAATATGTAGCTAGAGCTTTGTAGCAAAGTCAAGGAGCAGATCTGTAAGACTGGGAATGATTTGCATGAAGCAGTAAAAAGCTACTACAATCTTGAATGGCAAGAATTGGATTTAAAAAATGTTTATGGAGGGGGTGGTATTGTAGGACCCCAACCTCCCTGAGAAATAAGTTAGCCTAAGAGTAGCCATCTTGAAGCCCAAAAAGCCATTCTGATATATGACTCAGAGGGAACAACTGAAACCAGGTAACTCCTCTGGAAAAACAAGTTAATCAATCATGACTGCTGGCAGCGCTAACCTTTCGGTTAGTTAAACATAAAAGCTGACCCTACCTTGCTACACCCCCAGGACGTGGCACCAACTCAGAAATCGTAGGTTTGAAAAATTACTGCCTTTGTAGTATTGTTATCTTGCTATGTAGTATTGTTATCTTGTTACTACAACATAATCTGTAACCATGGTAAATCTCTAGGGCTGAATGCCTCAGAAAATCCTATATAACCACTTAGTTGTAAGTACTCAGGGTCCTCGTTGAGACCCGCTGCGACGGGCAGACTTGGACCCCAACTAGTTGGCTTCTGAATAAATTCCTCTTGCTTGTTGCATCAAGAAACGTCTTTGGTGAGTGATTTGGGGCGGCGCCTTCCTCAGGGGAATCCAACAGTATGAGGACAGAAATCTGTGGTTTTATAGGAAGAAAAAGATACAGCAAAAGGAGACAGCAAAGAGGTAAACACAAAATTAGTATTCAGAGATGGCCAAAGAGCCAAGATAATGTCAAAGAAATCAGAAGAGAAAAAGTTCTCATTGCGAATAGTGTGATCAACTCTGTCAAATGCCACAGAGATTTCCAAAATCACTCAGTATCATTAACGTGGGAATACAGAGCATGTTAATCCTAATAAGTACTACCAGCATTAATTAACTTTCAAACTAATAATTATACTTCAGTTCTTTTTTCAAGTTTCAGATAGGAATATACCCATAAAAATTATGTCTCTGAATTTGAATTGAGTTTCCTCCTTCACTAGGTAAGGATTTATAAGTATCCCCAAAAGTGATGCCTCCTTTTGGTACTGGAATTACACACTCTTTCCTAGCCATCATTTCTAGAAAGATGTCACTGGTTAGCAGGAAAGTTCATTCTCGTAATTCAGTGTTCACTAGAACTCTGCCCTGTTCTTCAATTTTAGTTACTCAATGCCCCATAACATTTAGGGAAGGAGTGGAGAACCAGAATTGTGGGACAGGAAGCACATTTTGCAGTGAACTTTCAAATCAAACAGAAAAGAAAATAAAAATCCAGAGAAATGAATTTCTAAGGATCATGGCACTTGACTGAGGAGATAGAGAAGCACCCCTTAAAACAACATCATGTAAGCAACCTCTAATCTAACATCTTAAAACTGACATTTTATGGGGGCAAGTTTGATTAAAAATTATTCTGTGAATTTTTTAAAGCCAAACCATAGTGCTTTAAAAAATTTTTCAGTACCAGAATCACCTTTACAAAAGGGCATCAAAGATTTGAGAACCAGTGAGTAATCAGTCCTGGCCTTTTCCTTTTGCATTTCAGAGAGATTTTTATTTGAGACTGTCATGAAAATTTCTGTTGCCTATGTTTTCTAATAGTCTACTTTCATTGATAGTGGCAGTCAAAGAAAAATCTTACTATCGTGGACACAGCTGCTAACACATTTGCCTTAATATATGTATTATATTTGCTTTGAAAGTGCTTAGACTATCTTTTCCCTTCTCAAATGCTGTTTCCTTTCTCTGGAGTATGAAGATAGATGTTATTTAAATTGAGAAAGTAAAAAAGAGATATTTTTATTCATTAGATAAACAACTGGGGCCTGGGAGAAAAGCCAAGGCAGCCAGGGATGTGAGAAGGCTCTTGGCAGGGAGTAGGTACTCAAAAGATGGCCATGTAACAATGGAGAGAAGAGAGAGATTTTCTTTAACAACTAATGTGGTCATATGGGTTTCTACTAGCTGAATTTCCACTCTGAGAAAAATTTTCCTTTAAAAATGATTTCTCTCAAATCCAAGTTCTTATTTGTTAAAACATAAGAAAAGCTTCCCATATGCTCTTCTCTACTTGCCAGGTTAAACCTACTAAAGATGGCACATCCGTAATCCATGACTCAGCTCCGGCCAGTAAGAAAAAGGAGACTGTCGCTACTGGTATTATTTTCCATTGCTGATTTGTTTGCCTTCCCTAAAGCTTTCCCCTCCCCTACTCTTCACCCGGAAAATGTATCCACACAAAATAAGTCAGTCAGAAAATCTGTCCTCAGAAGCTTTGATTTAAATAACTCAGAAATTTCTTGTGAACATAAATTGAAAGTATAGAAATATAGAGACATAGAGTTGGTATGGAAAGGAAGAAAGTTTATTTTTAGTTATGGTAAGCATAAATATAATACTGGATATTAAAATTTCAAATACCTTGTATTATTTTTTAAAATACATATCACATTCACCACTTTTGGTTTAGTCACTGTAGTCGGTAAGTACATGCATATTACCAATCTTATGTAAAGTATAAAAGTACTTATTAGCCTCTGAGAAAACAAGAAAGCCAAATATAAGAAATAAATACATGGTAAGGCAATATAGGTAGGTCATGGGGAAGACAGTACAGCATGGAGAAAACAAGTAGTGGCTTTATAGCATCTTACTACGCTGATAGACAGTGGCTGCAACAGAGGGAGTGAGGACTTAATAATATGGGTGAATGTTGAAACCACAGTGTTATTTATGTGGAATCATCATAAGATTGTATATCAATGGTACTTTAATAAAAAATAAATACATACATATATGGTGAGGGGTGGATAACTGTATTATCTAATGGGTTAAGATACTTCCTTTGAGTTTTGTAACAGGAAAAAAATAGCTTAAATAAAGAGCTTGGAGACCATCTAACAGCTTAAATAACCAGTTCTTCAAGTAGACCATGAAAGAGAAACTACATTTTTTTCTGAGAAAAGTTGGTTGAGACAAAGTAAACACAAATGTGACCACTTTTCATAATTTTAAGGACTGAGTTGTTGAGACAGTGTTGTCACTTGAAAATACAGTTTTAATAACACATTACCACTCAAATTATTTCTCATTCCTTCCTGACTGCAAGCTCAGCCTTGCATTTTTTAAACCCAAATACAATTAATTGCTTTTATATAATTGCTTATTAATAATCTAGACCTACATTTCATTTTTTCAAGGAAATTACCCCCAACCTTGATTTTTAAAAATCTCAAAATATAAAGCTGGAAGTAATTATTTTATACCTAATATCTTTGCATGTCTACTTCAGGCTTAGTCTTTCATTCCATACCTTCAATTTTGCAGATGAGAAAACTAAAACTCAGAGATTTAAAATGTCTTAACTAAGTTCACATATCAAGAAATACTTGTTTAAAAGAAAGTAGTCTGAGTCTATGAAAACTAACTCGGTTTAAATCCAGTTAATACAGTTGGTTTCCTTCTACTGAGCCTTTCAGGAAATATTAATGTTGAAAAAAAATCTGCAGCCACAGTCATGAAGTGCATATATGCAATAATTTTATAAGACAATCAGATCACCCACAAAATCACTGCATTTAGAAAGATATTTTAGATCCTTGTAACTCAAGAGTGTGGTCTTTGGATAAGCAGCACCTGGGGGCATGTTAGAAATGCAAGATCTCAGACCCCATCCCAGAGTACTGAAATATTTCTGTATTTTAATAATATCCCCAAGTAATGTGTATATGCATTAAAGTTTGAAAAAGCACCATTTTAGATTATCTTAGAAATACCCTCTAATCTGAAAAATGTGAGTGAAAATGTGGGTGTTTAAATAAAGTTAAAAGTATCTTACCATTCAAAGTAATTCTTGTGTGAATATTCACATAAAGTGAAGAATCCTTTTAGAACAAATTATCTCCAATTTAGCTTAGATATCAATAGTATTTTATACAGATTTCGTATTGCATAAGATGAGGCCAATCTAGAAATAATGGAAGTAGAAATATGAAAAAATTAAATGCTCTCAAAAGGAAATACTGAAAAGACAACACAGAAGTTGCTCTTATTTGAAAATGCACTAGTACAGTTCATTAGCTCAAATCTGATTTATTATAGAATTTATTTGAATTCAGTCAGAAGATAGGTGAACTTATTTCTGCACTATTTATAGTCAAGGCAGTCTTGTAAATTAATTTCAAAGGAAAAAAATTCTTCTTAAAGAAAAACATTATTTTACAAATTTATAACTCTCTATTTCAAGCAAGTAATTGCTATACAAGGAAGGGCATGTACTATTATGTTTCTACATTTGACTAATTACAAACGATTCTTAGCTAGTAATTAAAGTAACTTTAAAAAGGCAACATTTGGTTCATTTGGTTTGCCTGGCTGTGCACATAAAATAATAAAACTGTTTTTAAAGCCTGTAGACTATCCATTAATTTAGACAAGTACAAATTAGGCTGTGTTGCTGAATTTTAATTGATTACTTACTTAATATCTGAATCTTTTCTTCTTCTAAGATTCTTTGGAAGTGCTGAACAATGTTATCACTTTTATTTTATGAACTTCTAAATACCTAAACTAAATAGCATGACATTTCTTTTGAATCTAAATCAGTCTTCTGTATGTAAGACCAGTTAGTTAACCTATGGATTCAACATTTTGTAAAGTTTATATTATAGGTATAAACATATAATTTTATTATGTGTTTATGTAACTACATGTTGTCTTGTAGGTATCCTTCAACAATGACCTCACTTTTAGTAGATACTTGCAATCTGCAATGATAGGCTTTGGTGAATATTTTGAGGACTTTGCATAAAACAAAAAAGTTGCACATAAAATAGAAACTAGTTTTACTAGTATGCTACAGATCTTTTTCGAGGATAACTAAAGTGCTGTGTTACATGCCTGCAGCTTCCACAGCTATCTCCACTATCCTCATTAAAAAAAAACATTACTTAAAAAATGCGTGTATTTCTATGATCACTACTGCTGGACCAACATAAAAACTGCATTTTGCTGATTTCTATTGGCCTGTGTTATTTCATCATTTTAAAAATCTGCAATTACCCTAGCAGATATAATTTCCCCTGACTTTTTAGAAAAAAAACTTTAAAGTTTTCAAACAGTATAAAGTATAAGTTAAAGTGGTGCATACAGTATATGCTTTTATTGAATTTAAGTCTTTGGAATTTCTGTATTAACTTTGTACATTCAAAATCTTTCACTAAAGAGAGAGTCCTAAGGTTATTAATAACAAACATCTCCTGAACATTTTCCACCATATGTCAAATAGCTGATAAAGAATATAATATCATTTACTTAGTGGTCTTATGAAATATTATTTTCTAAGTTCTTGAAAGTTATGACCAAAATTACACACTAAAAAGAGTTTAAGAACACATTACTCACATCTATAATATGTCATTTAAAATAATATAAATGAAAATGAGCCAAATATTTTCTGACCTCTGGCATGTTAAGCATTGTTAAAGACTGGGTTAACAAGCAAGAAAGTGATAAGTAAACAGCGTCTACACATAGTTTAATAGTCATCTCTTAGGACACTATTTTATGATGATCCCACAGAAAAGAAATTTTCTTCTAATTCTTTGTGTTGTGTAAATACTGCCTCAGATAAATGCCATATTTTGACTAAATAAGTCTGCATAAAGATAAGAATGTTCTATGTTGATTTCCTTTTTTCTGCATTAATTCAAAATTCAAACCACAATTCCCCCAAAAACACTCCAACACTCCATTAAATAATATCCATGACTTCATACAGTGATGATGATATTTTCCTTTATAAATGCCACATAAAATCTGTGGTAAATTTTTAAATAGAAAAATTGTGAAAATCCCAAAATAACCACAGATTGCCTTCCATCCCTGTCCAATAAATTCTAACTTTAGGTTTTTACTATATGACAGAGATCTTTTATAGTCTTAAGGGAAAAAAGCAGCCTTTAGTTTCTTCTACCCTTGTCTGTGTGACTTTCTCTTTTCCAGTTGAGAACGCATTGAAGATCAGCATAATTCATATCTGCATAGAGAAAGTTGGAGTATTTCTCCAGAAATAATATTCAGAAAACTTAAGAGGATTTTACCATTCCAGAAGAAAATAATCAAATGAAAATATATTTTTTAAATACACATACAATTACCAAAAATAAAACTGGAGACTAAATCAACTAAACTTTCACCAGTGGTGATGGGGGCAACAAATAAAAATAAATGATGTCTATTTTAAACTGACATTGAATATTATATTCATTAACAAGTGTTTGTTAATTAAACCTAGAAGGTGAAGGCTTGACTTACATATTTTATTAGAATATAAATTTAAGTTTTTCAGTCAATTCCCAAAGTTAGCAATTGCTAAAGCATAGGCGTTCATTTAAGCTAGCTACAAAAATATGACATTTAACTTCATATTAAAGTATTAGAAACAATAGATATTCATACTCAGAACATTTTAAGTAGAGGAAAACTCTGTTGTTGTCATATATTACATAACTGACAGCAAAGTATCAGTAGAAAATTTTCTGCCTAAAAAAAAGATAGGGGGAACAGATAGCTAATGTTTAAATTGTTATTTAGTCTACGCATATACAAGTGGTAGCCCCTTTGGCTAACATACTGACTTACATAGTGAAACACATTCATCTAAGAGGAACCAGTCCCTCTGTTCCATATAAAATGAAATTTTAGTTTCTTTATTGGCTAAAGTGAATTATCACATTGGCATCCCATGATATCATTTCTCCTCGTGTAACAGGCTTCTAGATCTTTCCACTCTACATACTCAGTGCTCTCTTTCCCTTTTTCATATTTTTGCAATTACTTTGGATAAAGGGTTTGAGAGGTAAGAATATTCTGTGCACATGCAATATTTCCTATCCATATTTGAAAGACTGAGTCTATAATTTTCAGGTTCCAAAAATGATAGCTAGAAAAATACAAATAAAATCAATGTTCTATTCAGTAAACTATTAGAAGCTACTTCTTACTGCTGTGTCTCAGATGAAACATCTCATACTCCACACTGTGAGGACAGATAACATAGGAAAACAAAATATTATGTTCAATAGTGAAAGAGAAAAGATTTGTGACTTGGCAAGTACTTCCCCACTGACCAAATAAAATAAGAAACCCCATCTTCTGTTCTTTAACTGGAGGATTGTCACAACAAAGGATCTTTGAGCAAAGGATAAAATGATGAGCATCTTCCAGGCTTCTGACAGACATTAAACAGCTTCTTAACAAAGACTGGAAAGAAGAAACACGCTGATATATTTCATATTCTTTTGGAATATTTGGGCATCTTAAGGAGGAACTAGCAGTTTGGTCCTTTGAGATCACAGTAAAAAACTATATATTCAACCCACTTCAGGAAGAGAAAAATATATATACAAGATACATAGTCCATTAAAGCTGTCAATTCATTTCTTTCATCTATGCCCAATATTAAAACCCAATTACAAGAGTAATATTTACAACTAAAAATGAATATGGGTTATATTGTAATTCATGGTTTTGGTGTTGCCAGAGTTCATTATCTTTCAGACTCACCCTTTAATTTGCTATTGAGTTGTGGAGTTTATTTGGATTTTTAAATGCAATTATTTTTTCTTTATTTGCACATTAATTATTAAAAAGCAAAAAAGAACATTAAAGAAAACAAGCATACATGAAAAAAATATTCTGACATAGAATGCTTTCTTTGGTTGTAATGATTAAAATGTTAGAGTAAACAAGAAGTATTTTCAAGAATATGAGGCAATAAACATGAGGGAAGAAGATAAAAAAAATAAGAGCTATACAACCTGTCAATGTCAAACACTGAATACTCGTTACCAAAACTACAGCTATTCACTGCAGGTGTATTATAGCCCATACCTTAAATAAACACCAGTTACCCCCCTTCTCCCTGAGTCAGCCTAAGGGTAAATTGGAAGCTGTTCTGTGGATACTGCTCTTAAAAAATGGCTTCCCTGAATCAGCTAATTGTGAACATTATCTAGTTAGAAAGTATGTTCTCAAAAATTATCCACAGTCTTTGCTTGTTAAAAAGTGAGGGTTTACTGACAACATGGGTCATACATATTAAGCCAGGAAACATAAAGATATTCCAGGGTGCCTAATGTCTAAAACTGTCATCAAGCTATCATTTGGTAACTTCATTAAATAATTTTTTATCCAGGTAATCATGTGTTCCATTTCTTTTTCAATGTAGGTAAGGTACCTTGAACTCAGAAAACTGGAACTTATAAAACCTGGGGAAGGGAAATCTAAACTATAAACCATTCTTTCACTGATTCCAGGAATCACCCTTGGCAGAACTAAGCTCATCCTCCCACCACAGGCTACAAGAAAAGTATTTGTAATTTACAGGCATTAGTGACTTAATATAGCATGTACTCTCTTTGGTGTGTGCATTTTAAAAGAAAAGCCAAGAACAAAAGCTTAATACAAAGTAATACACTGTTAATTATAAAATTTTCTTCTATATTCTTTTAGAACACAATGAAAGGGAATTATTTGCTTCTCCTGAGAAACTGGTATAATTTCTCTCTGTGGATGTTGAAAATAATTTTCTCTGAGTACCAAGAAATAGAGAGCCAAGTTTATAGACCTTTATAAACTTTTTCAAATCCTAGGCCTGTATTTTTTCCTATTCCTGACTTTCTCTTACAATGTGTATTTTCTCTGGTCCTGCATTTTTACAAGCTGTCTTGCTCTCCGGAGATGAAGCTACATGCACAGTACTGCTTGTGTCTCCCAATATTTGATCCCCAACATCATCCAATTCTACCAGCCCACAGTTTGGAAGTTTTCTCTTTTCAGTTTCCCTCCTTCTGTATTTAAGCTTCCATATATACAATATTGTTCTTCTCCCAGGTGCATAGAAATTAATTCATAGTGATCCCTCA